CTCTCCTTTTTGGAGGGAGCTTTTCATGCATATTAAAAAAATATTGGTTGCTCAAGTTGTTCTCGTTACACATTGTATGGTCCAAACCTGGTGATAGATGCATATCCTCAAGTCGAAAATAACTTACCTCGATATTTTCTTCAATCTTTAAGAGTGGTCGTCGGTTGGTCCGTTTGTTAGGCCGGCAGTGGAATTACTCCGCGACTTGGAAGCGCTTGAACAGCTTCCGCTCGAGCTGAGATTACTTCATTGACTGGTTGGAGATGTTCGACGATTACTTGTTTGTGTCGGAAGTGGAACCGTCGCTCACTGAATTGTATCGTCGGTAAATCAAGATTTGCTGAATACAAATAAAAATGTCGATTATTGAGCAGGTTTTTTTTGTTTAAGCATTATTTCATTTTATTATATCAGTTACTTCATTTTCCGATTTTTCGGCGATTGGTACGGTCATAAAATTGGTCAGGGTAGGTAACACTTATTCAATTCCGTGCGTAACTAAATTCAAACGACAATGTGGTGATAATTAAAATATTAACGTACTCAACTAGTTCCGGTGTGGGCATGTGAGCTCATATGTTATTCCTGTACGCTTTTATTTACTTCTCAATCTTCCAAGAGTATTGGTTTCATTCAGTGTTGAAAAATTGGCGTTATGATTGGGAATTTTCGCGTAAGTTATATTTCAAATCGAGAAGCATTGAAGCACTTCCAAGCGACAGAATACTTCGGGCATGACTAATAAACGTTTTCATTAATTTTTGTAGATCTTCTTTGCGCATTTCAATGCCGTTTGTGGGGAATTCTTGGCAATCTACTTTGTGGTATTGAATGAATTTAACTATCCATTTTCAGATGATATTTCTTCCACGAATTAAGAAAAGCTGTGTGGTACTCTTATGGAAGTAATCTGATAGTGTGATAAGATAAGAGCTTGCTTTGTACGATCTTTAGCGGCATTGCAGCCAAACGTATGCCGAATTTTGCTTATTAAGTCTTAACGAAACTAGTTTTTGTCGAAAAACTTCTAAAGAACGGTACAAGAGAATAATTAGGCACAAAATTACTTTGTAATTCGTGTTATTTCCAATTTAAATGCATAATTTTCAAAAACTGTTTATTTTATCACTTGAAATTATTTTCAAATGAGTTCCCGTGAATATTCTACGCTCATTTGGTGGTGGCTTTCTTCTCTTAAGAAGTAAATCCACTTTCACTTCAGCCGATGAGCTCAGCGGCTAACATTCATATACGATGCTCTGTTGAACGCTATGTGGTGCAGTGGTGGTACTGCTGCACTGTACCCGTGTGGTGCAGTGGTGGTACTGCTGCGCTGCAGTGGCGCACCATCAATCGAAGCATCACTGCGGATGTCTGGCCTCCGGCAAGTTTCTTCGATGCCGTTCGTTGCCAACTTTCTAGGCCGAAATTGCCTCTTGGAAAAAATGTGTCAATCCTCTCAATAAAACGAGCGAATGGCAGAATTTTCAGAAGAGTGGAAAATCTGCTCGCAATAACTAACTTACGCCTCCTCTTCCCGAGTGCAGTTTGTTTCACTGTCTTTTTAAGTAATAATTCGGGTTCACTTCATATTGTTCATTTGAAAAAACTGTCCTGAGTGTGTAAAATCTTGAATTACGATAGTTGTATCATAGATGATTTTAAAATAGTTCAGCGATTACCGCACATTTTTATGCGCTAAACAAGTTAGCTAAGTAACACCTCTTATACTTACCATAACAAGAAAACCGCCATTATAACTTACAGACACTTTGAAGCAGCTTTCTGTTCTAAAATAAAAAAAAGCGTGAGGCACCGTTTTGCCGTTTACCATAATCTGGTAATATTCATGAGGTCTTTCGTATGGCTTTCTGCCATTCCTTGCATTTGCAAAAAATCTTCCTTGCGAAAATCTAGTTTTCTGGCTTACAAATATAATTTGCAAACCTCGACTTCTGGCTTTGCGTCGTTCCATTCAGTACCGATTTCTCTTATGGCTATTTAACCCGAGGTATCAACATATGCAAAATTACATTCTGGGCAAGTTTTTATGTTTTTTTTATTACATGTGAATTGATTTTGTTCGCCATGTTTGATTATTTTCCGTGAAATACATATGTCATTTAATTGAGTCTTCCTACGGGGATAAGGCTCTTTGAGCCTGAATGCGTGTCCCACACTGCAGCTTCGGTCGCAGGAAATCCTGTTTGGCCGCGAGGTGGGCCGGATTCGGTCCGCTGCTCTCGTGTGTCGACGCAGCTAGCCACTGACCGGCAACACCAGCGACTTACTTGACCGAACCTCGCCAGACCTGCAGCTGCTGCTGCGCTTTCTGTTGTGCACCTCCTTCAGCATCTTATAAATTTCAAATTGCATCTCCTGGTGAAGAATTGTACTGAGATCTTAGCAGTATTTCCAACGCGTGAAACAAGAAAAGAACTGAAAGTGTGACATGAACGCGACGTTGCCAGGCCACTAAGCACGAGATATAACGATGGGAACTCGGCCTTAGCTCATCCTTTCTATGCTTCCTTCGGTGCTGCTACTCGCTGCATCCGGATGACGGATCGTTCGACACGCTGCTGAGCTTGCGCATGTTCTCACCATCTCTTCATATCACCCATAGAAAGTTAGGCTTTCTTATTGATGGTTACAAGACGTTTTTTCTATTCGTTATCTCGTTTCAAGTGAAATTTTATCTATTTTAAAAATGCCCCTAATGAATTATTACTATCCGTTTCAAAAATTCAAGTATTTTACTTTCTTTTCGGCACTCAGGATCTGACTATTTCGGCACTACTTGCCGAAATAGTCTTTAACAAAGAGGTGGAAACAAGTTCATTTCAGTTCACTTGAGGACAATAGCAACTTTTCGTTAAGAATTCATCAGTTTTCGGTCAAATTAATATTTATCTTAAGACGTTGAAGTTTAGCGTGGCTCTGAACCTTGCGTATTGAGCCCTGCCTGCGAACGCGATGTCCTTAATATCCTCCCGTGGAGTCCCTTGAGCTGTACATCCAAGCCGTCATTTGCGTGTGATGTGCTTTGCTGTGAGAAAATTTTCCTACCCAATGACTCTGCCCAGTCATTCTGCTTGCATTTATTTGAGTTCTAATAAGGACTTTTTTTTACTAAATTAACACTGATTGTCTTCACGTTATGGAGTCGTTTTGACACTTCATTGTGCTTTGTAAGAACCTGGGCTAAACTTTCAATATGCCATGAAAGTGGCAGTCGTACAGATCTAGGCAGAACGAAAATGCACCTTGCCCTCGCATGTTGAACTACTGGCAGTTTCGTTGTTTAGTGGTTGTGTCTATGTAACTGTCGAAAACAGTGTTGACGTGACTTCATTGTATTTGATTCACATTGTCTGGAGTTCGTTCGTCCGTGACTTTCTTCAAAATAGCATTTCCCTTAGAAGCGGCAATGAAAGAAGCAACAGTTTTTCTTACTTGTGACCTTCATTAGAGGCTGAACGTGACTGTCGAGAGATTTGCTTATTTAATGGAGATCTACGTTCCCAATTTCGTTGACTTGGTCCATGCTTTATTTAGTAAACCGTCATTATATTTTTTTCCTCTTTGGGTTCAGAGATCTTCTAGGAGATGCAACGATGAAAGCTTCTATTGCCTGATGTTTTTCCGTCAATTTTTGTTCTCGAAGTTCCCGAATTCTTTTCCAGATAGATTTATTCCCTGGTTTCAGTGCATTATCGATAGAAGTATGCATTTGTTCGCCGTGGGCTTGTTGAGCTCTTCTTCAGCTACACTCGTTATAACCATCTCAGCTTTATTGCGTTCGCAGGACGCGTTGTGAGCGTAGCTCCTGGAAGTCACGTCTGGAGACGGCAATTGTGATATTCCTTTACGACCTCCTATTATTACATCCGAAACAGGCAGGATGAAGTTCATAATTTAATAAGTAGTTTCTGCACGCTTGCTTATCATAAAATGACTTTGATGCTATATTTGTGGTGCTTAAATAATCCTATTTATATCTGAAGTTCCTGATTACCAGCACACAATGGCGGTTAATTTAAAACAAATGTCAGGGGCATGAAAACCCAGCTCGGGTGAAAGGTTTTTTTAAAGACCGGTTCGTCTAATTTCTTTGTACGTGGTGCAGCGAGACCAATCTCGAGACTTTCTTTTGATGTATTAGCATGCTTTATTTATTTACTTCATTGATCAGACGAATAAAAGATCCATAATCAAACCTCTATAAATTGCACGAGTCGTACAGAATCACATAAAACATTTTCAAAGAATGTAGATTCTATGCAAAGATTTAATTTTTCTAGTAAAATTGCCGTCTACGTAATCTAATAATGCTTGTCAAGCCTTCTATCTTCATTGAGTGAGCTTTTAATGCAGTCGTGTGGGCTCACACTGAACACAAGAGTGGTCGGTGTAGGCAGGGCATTTCTTGAGTCCATAGGGCGACGATGCAGTGCACCAGCGACGGCGTCTCCTTTATGGCGTCGTTGGGTCGCGTTTTCACGCTTTTTACGACTATCAGGGCACGCCTTTTGCCTCCCGAGCTCCGGCTTGTGCTGCTCTTGAGGCCACTGTTCTTAGAATGTCTTCTATTCTACGCGGCACCTGGAAGCAACTTTATAGTTCCCCATATCAGCATATTTTTTCGATTTCACTGTCCATAAAAGTGTTCAGTTGTGTACCTTTTTTGCTACATTTTCTTTGTGTCAAAAAGCTGTCTTGCTAGCATTCGTTATATTTATATATATTTTAAGTTTTATACTGCTGTGCATATCATGAACAATGTGAGGTATTAACTAGGTTAGGTACTTCTTTTGTCTTTCCTGAAATTTTGAAATGAATTATTCCATCATTTGTCGCATCTTGATTGAAATGTTAAACTTTTAGTCAGTATTTTTCACTCTCTGCCAAGCATTTTCTCAGTGAAGTGAGATTTTTTTGTGTTAGACTTGTGTGAAAACGCGATTTTTTGTCAAGGCGTGGTTTTAATTTAATTGCAGGCGTGTACGGCAGCAGTGTGGAATCGACGAGCCACATGCCTTCAGCTCCCGATAGTCCGCCGTGTGTAAGCTCAAGTGTCGTTCGAACAACAACCACTAACCACACCAACGTCAACCACCACCTCAACAACAACATTCTGCGCAACTCTAGCAACGTCAGCTCAGTTAGCGCGGACAGCAACCTTACTGATTTCACTGGTACGAATCGCAGCAAAACAAGCAGGGACAGCAGCGTTAACATTAACAAGAGTAACAGCAACAAGAGCAGCAGCAGTAGCAGCAGCGACAGCAGCATTAGCAGTCACGACAAGAGTGGAGGACGACGATGGGCGTCACTCAGTGACGTGGCCGAAGACCCTGTGCTGGCGGAGGCTCAGCACCTGACCATGTGCCGCTGTATCATTGCCTCCATACTCGAGTCTGAGACTGTCTACCTGGAGTGCCTGCAGGTCGTGCTGCAGGTGAGGCGCCAGGTTATATCTCGTAGGAGGGAGAGTGCTGCGAGTATTCTTGTGTATTCTTGAGTATTCTGAGTATTCTTGTGCTCATGGAAAGTAGGTTGCTTGTTGTTGTCGTGTAGTGTGAGGGATTGTGTGACTGTGCCTTTATCATTAGTAGCTCCCAAACCTCTTCCATGTTACTCTTTAAGATATACCACAAAATTATGTTGATAATTTCAAAATGATGGATAAATAAACGGCTAAATAAACTTCAAGATTTTTTTCTGTCGCCATTCCATCGCTTTGTGAAGAATGGAGGGAACCAATGCTTTGCATAGATAATGTGTATTAACAGAGCTGTCCATCACTCTCTCGCTAATGTTGAGTAAATATCAAGTTCCTAAATCTCCATTAGTTGACTTGCCTTGCTTGAATTTTCTTTTCTAATTCCTCGTTTCTTGTGCAGTACATGAAGGCTCTGAAGGCGACGCTGACATCGTCGCAGGTCGTAATCTCCCCAGACGATTATTCCACCGTCTTCTACCGCATCCCTGAGCTCTACAACACACACAAGGATTTCCTAGATGGCCTAAAGGAACTCGCAAGCCAGCACGATGCGCCCAACAGCAGCATCGGCAGCCTTTTTCTATCTCTGGTACGAATCAAACTGTGCATGTTGCTGGGTAGAGTATCCCGCGTCTATCTCATCCATGCAGTTCTTCATCCCTATAGATCATGAATATTTTGATGTAGCATTCGCAAGATTTGTGTCTTCGTAATTTGAAAAGTAACTGACACGCGAAGTAAATTTACAAATATGTGCTATATAAGTACTCTGTTCTATAATGAAAATATCTTTCTCGACATGGGCAGAATTATAAAATGAGATATTTAAGGAAAGTGTGTTAAGAAAGACTTTTTTCGCAGGCTCAGAAGCTGGAGGTTTACGGGCAGTTTCTGGCGAACTACTCGCGTGCAGTGGAGACGGTGCGTCGTTGCAGCTGCGAGAACAGCTGCTTTGCGACCATCAGCCGCTCCATCAAACTCAAGTCGCTGCATGGTCAGGAGCACACGCTCGAGGAGCTCCTGCACAGGCCCGTCGCCAGGGTTCAGAAAAATACACTCGTGCTCCACGTGAGTCACAGGCTTCATTAATGAGCTTCAGTTGTCAGTGCAGATGTCTGATGAACGTAGATCACTTTAAATTTTCCCGTGTCAAGATAAAACTCGTACCATTTTTAATTCAAATTGTAGATAATTTACAAAGTGATATTGTAGTGTAACGTTAATTGAACCTTACCAGCCGTTGCATATTAAATCTTCTTATAATCAATTTAAATGCTTAGAGTTTAAATATAAAAATAATGGTCAATCAACTCGTGCTAATTCTCTTGTGGCCTGCATCATAGGTGCCCTGTATGTGTTCATTTTTCAGTCACCTGGAAAAAATTACAGTTTGTACGTTCTGAGCATGTACATACCATAGTAATTTTATCTTGCAATAAACTCTAGAACATATGCCATCACTCTGCACTCTATGTATATTATACCTTCAGGACTTACTGAAGCACACGCCTGAGCAAGACAGCGAGTCGCTGCAGGAAGCCCTGCGGCTCTTCCAAAGCTTCCTCTCAGATTGTTCTGTGATACAGAGTGACGCTATGCTGCCGGTCAGTATGCGTATACGTGACGCTACTTTGGTACTGATTTTCACTAGTATAATAGTATAACATCACTACATAGAGCAACGATCTTCTGAATTTTCCTTGAGGTCACTGTAGCTGAATGCTGACTATTACAACTTTTTTCTTTCATGGAAATATTTTTACAAATATTTTTACTCCTCGTCGTGATCCACTTACTTGTTATTGCCAGTCATGATATCAGCGCTGATGATTGTACATTGACTTCTACCTGAACTTCAGTTGTGTGATCGACCTCAACGGCACCTCGTGCGCAACTCCTTCATCGTGGAGCTCGTGGACGGCAGTCGCAAGCTGCGCCATCTCTTCTTATTCAACGACGTCCTCTTGTGCGCCAAGTATAAGGTGCCATAAGAGTTGAAACTGGGGGCGCTCTGGCCGCTTTTAAACTCCAGCATATTTTACCTTTGTGGGGCGAATAGGAAGAGAAAAAAAATACTCGTCGTTTGAAGGGATACAATACATATAAGGCATCTTACAATATGTCGTTACTTAAATCTTGAGGATTTTATGACCTGGAAAGTGTTAGAAAAAACCCGTTGTCGCAAAGTTTTTCAATTGAAATTTTCTCTCGACGCAGGCTACAAATCGAGCGGATAAATTCACATTTGACTTGAAGTGGTTCATCAGTCTGCACGACATCTTGATCGAGGCGTGCAGCAGCCTGGAGCAGTTCAAGGAAGCCAACCCACCCAACCTCGTCAACCTGAAGAGTCAGGCGGCCACCGTGCGGGACCAGCTGCGACGCCTCGAGGGCTCCTCTGACAAGCCGGTACGGCGACATGAATGCCGTGTATCTCCTCCCCCAGCCGACGCGTTGACCCATTTCTGTCATCAGATTAGCTCAAGCGGGGAAATTTTGTTGCGATGCTGATGATTTAAACGCGTCTACTACTTATTTTTTGACGTAATTCATTATCTTTGTCAGTCAAGAATTTTATAGATTCATTTGTAATTGAAAAGTAACATCTTGATGAACGTTTTAACACTTCTTCGAGCTAATGATAGTGAAACATCGTACACTGCAGACATGCAACAAATTATCTTACGTGTATGCTTTTCAAAACGGAAAAATAATTAACCAAGTTAGTCAGCGCGCAAGTTGAACACGTAGAAAAATTTGCATTTGTTAATAATATTATTTGAAGAGTAGTTCCAACTAAGTAGGCCTTTGCCAGATTACACTGCAACACAGTGATGAAACTGTCTTTAAGCGTACCTTAGGCTTAAAAGTGTTTGTTTCGATGACGCATCGTGCAGAGCGGTACGGGGGGCGTGCAGTCGGGGGGCGGCGGTCTGCTGCACAACTCGCGCGTTGACAAGCTGCGCAAGCGCCTCTCTGAGCTCGAGGCTCAGCTCATCCTGGCCTCACCGTCTCTGCCGTGGCGCGTGGGGAGGCGATGCTTGTCCAACCTCCACCACACGTTCCTGCTCTCGTCGCAGTACGAGCGACATGAGTGGACTGAAGCTGTTAATGTCCTGCAGGTATGACGTCATCTGGTACACTGTAAAGTAACGCACTGCGTCCTGGTGTTTAGTATAAACTTGTGAAATTTAGTGACCTCCGTGTCAATGGAAACGCAGGAATTCGACCTTTTCTTGGCTTGCCAAGCGATTAATATCCATGCAAAAAAAAAAAAACACTCTCTCTTCCGCTTCTTCCATCAGTCAATGAATAATGTCATTTTTGTGCGTTTTTACAATTCACGTCAACGAAGAAAATCTTCTTGCAGAACAACACCCCGGGCGTGGGCGGGAACTCGCTGACGGCGCAGGAGCTGCAGGGCTGGATCACCGCCTACCGCAGCTTCCTCAAGACCAACATGGGCAACTTCCTGCTGCGCTCAGGACGCGACGAGCCGCTCTTACTGGGCGACCTCCACCTCCTCGTCACCGGCATGCAGGGACTCGCCCAGCCTGCCAGTTAGTCTCTATTTCTAACACTTAGACTGTGGCATTATTTCTCGTTAGGGGGTGATGCGAGAGAAGGTATAGCAATGGGGCGTATATGCAGCTGAAGAAATTATTGTTTCTCGTCATTTTCATGCTATTTGTTCTTATACTTTGTAATAAAATTAATTATCGTTGGTTTCAACTGTTTTCTTTTGACGATTTTGGCTGTAAATGAAACTCAACCTAAGTAAAATCTATTTAATGTCGCTAAGTAAAATATCTATTTAATCATCTGTTTAATTCCTTTGATGACAATAAACACCAGTTGCTCGAAATTTATGTGAGTTATTGTTTATTCAGATTTTAATCAGAGGTAATTTTTTGACTATTTTTTCTGTCTATTCAGGCTTATTTCTGAGTTTCGAAGTGGACTCGTACGGGCATTTCTTCCGCAAAGCGAAGACGCGGACGGTGGAGGGACCGCAGCCTGTCTGGAACCAGGACTTCATCATCGAGCTCGAGGGCTCGCAGACGCTCAGGGTTTTGTGCTACGAGCAAACCGAGGCCGACGGCAACAAACTCAGAGGCAAAGCTGAACTTGATGTGAGTCTGTAGAACATGTATATATATTCATTTGCTCTTGAGGATTTACACTGAATTTTTAAATATATTGTTTCTATTTTTTAGCTAGGCATCACGTGTATGTTGTTATAAATGAAAATGTTCTTTTGTGTTGGGCTTCAATGCGTCCAAGAAGTGAAAAGTTAGCTATATTTTGTGCCCGGAATTGGATCTAGGAAAATTTTATCCGCACCAAATAATTTTTAAAGTTAAACCCTCATTAAGAGAAACGGTTGAATCCGTCACCTAGTAAATGGCAATTCAAACTATAAGGAAATATGTTCTGGTTTTCAGCTGTCGACGTCGTGGCTGACGGAGAGCTTGCAGGAGCGGGTGTTGTCTATATCAGAGCTACAGCTGTCGCTGCAGCTCAAGTACCTACCGCCTGAAGCCACCCTCAGGAGAGTGCCCACGTCCAAACCTCATGGCCTATTTGGCGCGCCCATCGCTTCCGTCACCAAGTGAGCTATCATGCAACTTGTTATATCTTCGAGTGAATAAGAGAGTTTTTTCCGTCAGAGAACTGCTGGGCGCTATTAAGCAATGGATGTTTCCACGGTGGCGAGGCTTGAAGTCATAACGTTCGCTTCTAAGCGGGTGATGTTCATTTAACGATAACGTCATGAACATCATGGAATGAACGAAGATGAACTATCGTTGGATTGAAGCCACGTATCTTAATCGTTGCCACGCACGTGCATTCCGTAGACATTTCAAACTTACTTCCCTTGTTCGTTTACTGGCAGGCAGTCGATCTTTTGCGAGTGAACAACTTGACTTAGGTGAGGTGCTTTGCTAAGATAAAATGCCCTAACAGCTACAGCTCGTGTGCTCGATGATGTTCGTTTCATTGCTGCAAAATGAACACAGAAATTAACTACTCCTTTAACCTCTTGTATGTCTTGCCCTCTCGAATAATACTATACGTAGCGTTCATCCATCGCATCATAACACCGAATTCCCGAAAGCAAAAGACTCCACGTTGTGTTTATTAATGCTGTAATTGGGTCTTAGCTTAGCATTGGAAGTGAAACAAAAGCTCCAAGTTGTCTATTAAATAAAACACTGAATCGACAAGCCAACTGCTACCCATCAGAAACTTGAAGCCACGAGCTAACTTCGCTACTATTGACAAAGATGGTAGGACCATCAAGTGACCTCAAATAATTAGGTATATTTCTCATTAAAAATTTCACACCATCCAAAATGAGAGCTCATTACTAAATGTTTGCTTTTTTGCAGACGCGAAAAGCGATGCGTGCCTTTCGTGGTAACTCGCTGCGTGCGGGAGGTGGAGCGACGTGGTATCGGAGAGCTGGGGATCTACCGCGTGTCTGGCATGTCCTCCGACATTACCAGGCTCAAGAAGTCATTTGAAACCAGTGAGTTAAATGCACGTGTCCTATTTCCCGATAGAATAATGCAACCATTGACTTATGCTTTTTATTTTCTCTTGCGATTTCGTCCTCAATTTTTGGTCAGCAATGATTTCCCCATTCCCATATTAGTTCCTGATTGAACGTCGTTTGACTCTCCCCATGCTATATATGCACGCGGCTGTTCAGACCCAATCAAAAAAGCTGACATACAACTCTTTTCATACAAAACAATTGACATTCTCGTTTTTTTTCTCTCTGTATCAGACCCGTACGAAGCCGAACAGCTCATCAAAGAGGTAGACATCCACTCGGTGACGGGGCTGCTGAAGCTGTTCCTCCGTGAGCTGCCTGAAGCGCTCTTCACGAGCTCTCTGTACCCGAGCTTCTTCAACGCCTACGTCTCCAGTGACCCCGAGCTCAAGAAAAACACGTTACTGGCACTTTTCTCTCAACTCCCGCGCGTCAACCAGTCCATCATTGTCTACCTTCTTGAGCACTTAGTCAAGTTAGTGCTTTGAGACAGAGCGCAATTGTTTTATTGCAGAGATGCTTTTTTTCGTGTCACATTAATATCTAAATTTATTTTATTTTCCAAGAGATTCAGCAAGTAATATTTTGTGCATTTTATGCACATAGGGTATATTCGACTGAATCGAAAGCATTAAGGAAATTATACTTTTTCTTCAGTAATAATATAATTAAAACACATGTAAGCAATTTTATTTCATTTACATCTATTTCGTATGTTTGAAATTATTAAATTACATTTTCGATCTTTATTCATTCCAACACCATTTTTTCATGTATAATATTATTAATTGTAATTTGCACAACAGAGTGCACAAGTTGGAGGGCGTGAACAAGATGACGCTGCACAACCTGGCGACGGTGTTCGGGCCGACGTTAGTGAGACCTGCGCCGCCTCAAGGCACTCCTGACCCTGCAGAGCTGCTCGCTGCTGGCACCATGGACGTCATGGCGCAGGCCGGCATCCTGCACTTCTTCCTCCACAGACGTGCGCGCGGCGAGCCCATACAGGCCGGCGGCGGCAGCGATGAAGTCGAGTAGCTCCTGGAGGTGGAGCTCTAATTCTAGGCTCACTTGTGGTGCCAGCGATTTTATAATGAAGTATTCTCAGCCTTTATTGTGTTCGGAGAAATTATAGCTACTTGAGTGTGAAAATATGGAAGATTCACTTTGCATTAGGAGCTTTCTACGTACCAACGAAAGTAGATGTGACAAGTTTGCCTGAATTTCCTGCTTGATAACGGTATTTTGGTTTCTAACTTCTTATCAAACGTGAAAACATTCCGGATTTCTTTGATTATAAAAGCCAAAAAATATACTTCCACAATTACAGTTGATTAAATGAGAGTTAACTCACAAACGGAGAATTGTCTTCATACTAGTTCTTTTGAATTTTTTTTTTTTTTTTTGCAGTTTTCGTTTTGTTCTCTCACAGGTTTTGTCACCGCCTTAACGCGTTGCCTGCGACGGTGATTGCGGTTCAAGATTGAACAAAGTGCATTTCTATTTGTGCCATTTTTTTAATAATGACCTCATTTTTTGTACATGGGTCATAGGAAAAACGTGTCTTGTGAGTGTCGATGTGATAAACTTATTACGAGAATGATTCCTGCTACCAAGATTGTATTGATCAGATAATAGTTGTATTACTGCACTAGTTTGGCGTAGCCAACTTAATTTTAGATTAAGGAGCGGTGTAAGATCTTGGGATAAGTACAAACAAGTTAATTGTCCCTGCGCATGTATCGGAAGACATTTTTTTTTACGTGGATGATCGTCCTATTATTGGCAACGACTGTTACATTGTGTTCTGTTTAGCTCGATTGTCTCGATGCAGCCCCTTAAATGTCTGTAATTCTTTTGAAGATGTGTAATTTAAATTACAAGTAAGCGATATTGCAGCAAACGGGGTTCGTTTTTAAATGATTTTGAAAGAATTATATACTTCACAAAAATTTACATATAAAAATATAATTCTACTCGCCCCGCACCTTCAGAAATGCTTCTTCTTCTTAGGTCCCTGGACATATCCAGGCGAGACTTCAATATTTATATTACTGATAATAGAGAACCATGATGAAAGAAAACTGCTGTTGCCATTAAATCATTAATTTCTCGAACACTTAAGAAAAAAACTTGTTGGTTTGTGGCATGTAAATAGACTGTAAGGAAATGTTCAACTTATAAATTCTAGTGAGTGACCGTAGCCATCCTCATCCAGTAGGTTTTTCGTGAGAGAGACGCCTGACAGTACGGACTGCCTGCCCCCCCAGAGCATGGAACAATATTTCGGCTAGCGGCTTAAGGTGATTTTCTCATTTACGCACAATCAACCTCGATATTCTTCCCAGATTTCTCTAGATGTGCTTAACATTAAAACATTGAAAGCACCTAAATTTTGTTCATAGATTTCTCTTCTTTGTGTTGTGAAAACTTGAGAACGATTGATTTATCTGCCATAATTGATTCAATCTTTGACTTCATAGTATAACTGGTCACCCATCCCCAACGTTGCACTCATCGTCAAGTAGCTCGAGCTGGAACACATTTACCCAAGGCCGTCATAACGAGAGAGTACCTACAGGTTTGATGCATGGCTTTGATATTTATCTACAAAGTTGAGTCACTCGTCAAAACAATTCCGTTAATCTCTCGATATTATTCTGTTAATGTGTACGACACAAGCGGTCGTTCTTGCCTGTGCTCGGCCAGTACTTGCGAGATTGTGGCCAATGTAAATCCGGTAATCAGGTCTCACCCATGACTTCATCTGCAATTAAGATGGTGGATCCCTCATGTTTGTTCTCATAATCCAGTTTGCGTAATATTTCGTTCGCGTTGTGGTTTATGTCCTTTATATTTGTGTTGAGGTTTGTGTCCTGTGTAATTTGTGCGTCGTGGGGTTGTTGGCTGGGACTGCCGTCATTAGGTGTTGCATCTTTTGTGCGACTTGATGGATCTCTGATGCCGGAAATGTGAGGAATGTGCCGCGAAATTTTCGACGGAGACATGTGCACTAGCTGGCTCTACCTCGCCAGCTGGACGAAGTTACTGTCGCGCGTTACGCCGAGAGATGCCTTGAGATCGTCCACGCCACGCTCAGTAAAGTCTTGCGTTGCCGTACAACTCGGTACAAGTCAAGCACGTCGCACATCGCTGTTTGAATGAACGGTGCCTGCGCCACGAGTTTGAGGCCGTAATCCGCCTCATGGTGTAGGCCTCTGATTCTCTACATAGTCGCTCCATCTGTGATATTACTTAGCTCTTAGTACCTTAGACTTAGTCTTAAATATTCAGTAGATGCACCTTAGCCATCATCTGCACCATGCATTTATATCAAATATATCGTATGAATATATCATGACTGTCAAACACTTCGTGTCCTTCCTTCGTGGATAAATTATACTTTTCTCTCTGAATTTTCCACCCGGTTTATTGCAAATGATTCTTGTGCCAAATGATGCCTGTAAAAAATATTTGTTTGCCTTCTGGTGGCCAGCTTTGTTCTGTTTTCGTGTGCGGCTTATACTTATGGTTGTTCCTTACCAGCGTCTCGTACCTCAAACTCCTATTTTTGTCTTTAAAAGAAACCGTTGTTATCTTAGGAGATATTGTTGGTAATGATTCCATCACGCTTTCATTTGATTCTTCAATTTTGCTGGATGTGCTTCAGTATTTTTATTTTTTCTTAACCTGACCTGTTGCTAATTATCGGCTTTATTTACCAATTTTTCGTCAGTGTAATGCGCATGCGCAGTGTCTAAGCACCTAATTTTGTAATTTTCTAAAATTAGACTCGTAAATTTTCAACTATGCCACGTAAATTGACAATGGCTATGAATTCTAATAAACTAGCCACGATTTTCCGTGTGGCATTTCTATTTCGTTATATGGAGATGGTCATTTGCTCTAGTAGTGAAGGATTTTTTATAGTTTTTGATTGGTCGATTTCAGGTTATTCTTCTACTTTGTGCAGCATGTCTGCCAGTAGTCTGGGACGATCATTTGCTCCTCTCCACGAGTCTGCTAGGAGCGTTCATAAATATGCGCGGCATGAATGTCTGTTATTGAAATAAGTAAATGCGTCTGTAACAAACTTTTTCATTTACCTTATGACACTTCTATCGCAGGAATGACTAAGCCACAAAACATGGGCTGAGGTAGGCACATAGTCTTCAGCATGAGCTCGAGAACTGAGAATATTTCTGAATAGTAATGTATTCTAATTGTTGAGGGCAGCTTGAAGCGATTGGGTAGAAGAGATGGATACTAAAACGATTTTATACCATAGACGAAACGATGATTACTGAAATAAAATCCGTTAAATATTTAATTGAACGTTAATTCGAATCGAATCACGTTAGCGAGTGACAATAGCACAGAGAAAATGTTCGGGGCAGTTAAAGGAAGCCCATTTCTAAGAATGTGTGCCGGGTTCAACTATTGCTAACTTAGATGCTACAAAATCTCCAACAAGTACAATCAATGAGTATTCTTAGCAGAAAATCGTTTCACATTCCAAAGAAAACGACGATAGACCACATTTTGTTGCTCCATCTCGCTTTCCGGAGCGGACTTGTCCAATCTTAGTTCAGAATGAAAATAGGGGCTACAATAACACTCAGGACTGAGACGAGAGAACAGTATTTCGTTTCACCTGCACCAGAAAAAATTCTTGTTGCCTCTCGTAGCTTTGGATGGAACACGTCCAGGGAGCCGTATATCTGGTCCCGCTCTTCCTCCACGTGCGTTTCAACAGGCGGCGCGCGCTCTGACGACAGGCAAGGGCTTATGGGTTCCTGAGTCACCGACGCGATGGGCGCGCCGTGGACCGCGTAAGGAGACACGCAGAAGTTTTGCGACAGGAACTGTGGTGTGGAGCGGGCCACATCTGTGTCCAGCAACCATGCCAGCCGACATGTGCACGGGAAGAAGTTACCTGGAGATAAAATCGAGGTTTTGAGCTAACATTCTTAGCCGTAACCCGTTAATATTGGTTGTTAGCTGTAGACTTATTGAGTAGATTTTAAGCAAAGTCAAGACTTCATCAATTATTTTACCTTTCTGAAAGCATTAACGTTTTTCTCAAATAGCTTGTGGTTCAATTTATTATTCTGAATTATACTTCTTCAATAAATCAATTTGTCCGAATGTATGATTGCATTTGTCGTAGAAACGTGATGGCTATCCAAGTTGCTAATAATTTCTAAATTCAAATTTATTATGCATTAAATAATCAATGACTAAACACTCAAGTTTAAAAGTCAGTTACAACTGCAATTTGGTCACTTTCTTCAGTGACTTTCCTCTAAATAGAAACTAGTAATGCAATTCAAGATATTATCTCTGCGTCGTACCCGTGACGACGTTGCGGTTGTTAGCTTGCAGCAGCAGAGGCGTGGGGCGCGTAATGTGCAGGAAGTGGTTGCCCTGAACCACCACCGCGTCCACGTTCAGCTCCTCACCGACCCGCAGACCCTCAAGGGAGTCAACCTTTACGCAATACAGTAAATTTTAAATAATTTAAACCATTATTGAATGGAATTACACAGTTTCAAATTTTTTTAGCTTGCAACATTTTCTGCCGCGCATAAATGATACTGATCATATTAGAGTAACCTGAATTAAGAAACGAAATAATATAATTTATTTTTACAATTACTGTAATTCGTATACGTCACTTTCTTACTCTGCAATCAACTCTCACATAATACTAGCAAAGGGTAATTTATATAGTGCTTAATAGATCTACCTAGTAACGGTCAGAGCACCTACAGAGGTTTTAAACATTTAGATCCTGCTCTTGACTGCCACTTATTTCAGCAGTCACTTTGTTGACGAACATGCAGACCTTTCTCCTTACTGCACCCATGCTGCACCCCTCGACTTACTGAGCATGAAGGCCCCGCTCATGCCTTCATCCATGCATTCCTCATATTATTGAGCATGATGCCTCACTCATGGCTTCATCTATGCTGCATTCCTCATATTTTTGAGCATGAAGGCCCGTTCATGCCGTCATCCATGATGCATTCTTGATAATATTGAGCATGTAGGCCCTGCACTCCACTAAGTAGCATGCTACATTAATCACCTTATTGTTGAGCATGCGGATCTCGCCGACATTCCTGAGGCCTTGGAAGGCGTCGCTGCGCAGGACGCCCAGGTCCGAGTCCTGGATGGAGATCTGTGTTACGTTGCTCAGGCCTCTGTGTAATTTCAAAATTCAATATTCACTTTAAATCCAACAGCACAAAAATGATAAACGTCTTCAATTATTATTGACGCAACAAATAAACAACCTTTGGTTGTGAACTCGAAGACAAATTTTTTATGTACGATAAGTAAGGTTTAAGCTGACAGGGAAGCAGCTCGGAACGTATTTCATCACTACCTGGGATTCCAGAAGCTATTCTTCCGGAATTAATGGAGCAGTGCACACTGCACAGTTGCAACGTTGATAAGCCAAAGGCTCAACCCGATTTAGGTTTAAAATATTAAAAAATTCACCTTGGAAAGATGCTAGCAGGCTTGCGAATTCACTCGCGCACCAGGCTAAACAATCTTAAAATTAGGAATTAGTTATTTTTAATACATTTTTTATTTGAATTGTAATAAATAGCTACTCGAGCTGAAGTTAGCATTATCAAAATTGTACACAAATCCCCTTACTCAGGTTTCATTGAAGACCAGAGAATTCGTTTTATTGACAATTTTCTTATAAGTTTTTTCATTTAAATATATTATTAATATTTTAAGCACTGCTCCATTAATTTAAATTTCACTGCTTTATTAATTCCATTAATTCCTAGCCCTGTTTGTTTATTATTTATTTTTAATATTTTAATTTAATATTATAATATTTTTTTTCTTATTATTTTCACAAATAATAAGAAAATTGTCAATAAAACGAATTCTCTGGTCTTCAATGAAACCTGCTTAAACGAACAAATTTTGCCAACATATACTAAAATTCCCTTACCTGAATGTGTAAGGTTGGAAGGCCTTCAGGTCGAGGCTCTGCAGCTTGAGCAGCCCTACACCCATGACCCCATGGAACACGTCTGCCTCCAGCTCCTGTTGGCGAGCCACATGTTCATCAGTTGCCAAGTAAAAACTTTATTAAAGTTCTTAGTTTGATTTTCCGTATGAAGATGTTTCATGAATCATCATGTGTCCATAGAATTCAAATGCTCATTTAATCTTCCAATTCTAATTTTCGGATCGCTTAAGCTGTCGCTGTAGAGACTTTAATCCTTGAAATGTTTTTATTCTTCCCTGATAAATTCAAATTAGCTTTGCTTAGAACTATAACTTTTAACTTAAGAAATTTAATTTTTATTTCTTCAAGCTTAAAGTTAGTTGAAACTTTGTGTCATTTCATTTGAGATTAGTACTCGTTCATTACATTGCAAGGGTGTTGAAATTCCCCCGCCATCACTTTGAGAGGCGTGACCACTTCCAAATCACTCCATTACGGTCAGCAAAAGTCCAGAGAAGTGCATTTGAGGGCGGGAGACGGTGACCTAAAGCGTCACGTATCGCACTAACATTCGCCTGAAAGCTCAGCGGCTAAAAAGTGCGTGCAAAGTGAATGGCGCGATCGAAACACCGGGTCTCCCCAGAGGCGCGCGTCGGCCGCAGCCCAACACTGTTTTTAGACGACGCTTTGAAGCGGCGCCCCTGACCAGCATTGCTGAGCGACTCACCTCAACGGCTCACTTTATAAGCTCTCTCTTCTAAATGCAGTGCAGAGAATGAGCTCCGCACTTTCCTGCCTCATTAATGCTAACTGCAGAGAAATAAAATGATTCTATTTCTTCCCGCCGAGTGCTTTGGTCTCTTGTAACCATGCAAGGACTCGTTCAGAATTCCTATGCTGCAACAACATATCGGACTGGAATGTCTGCCTTCGCTCCTCGTACTTTGTTTTCTTGTGTTGTTCTAGATTGTTGCCCATGATGTGGGCCGCGAGATCAAAATCTGAGAATTTCTCGAGGAAAACGACACTTCATGTTTTACATCATTCCTTATGATTCGCCCATTTCCAATCTAGAGAAATATCCATAATTTGATTGTTGAAGCAAGCAATTAATCTGTAGCTTCTAAGAAAAAAAATGTTCTCTCTTGACGATAAAAAAAAACGAGAGAAGTCAGCATGCACGGTTTACAGTCAGTTCCCCAGCACATGCCTCAGCATTTTAGGGCCGTTGGTGGTGTGGTGATTACTCACGGTGATCCAGGAAGGCAGGTACAGGAATTGGACGGTGTTCAGCCCTGAGAAAGCCTTTGCTTTCAGTGACTTGAGAGGATTGTCCTGCAGCAACAGCATGCCAATGTTGCGAGATCCTGAGAATGCGTTCCTGCGCGAATATTTCTCATTAAAATGTTTTATATGAACCAAGTCGCTACTCATTAATGAAGATGCAGTAATGATTTTTTTAAGATGGTAATTTTTTATTCGTTTTGCAGGCTAATGTTTCTAAAAATATTATTGCGAAAATATTATCTGTATTTCATACGTGATAATTGCAAAGCACATTTGAATTGTTGATCAACCTTAACAATTTATTTTAAGCCAAAGTTGTCTCAAAGAACCAAACAGCGAGTCCATTATGCAATGTAATATCAATCGTTGAGAATCTAAGAGAATTTGGCGCAAATGTCGATATGATTAATTTGGTTTAATTAATTTAAAGTTAATATTTCTACACCTCAATAGCTTGTGTAAACTTACGCGTATTACTTATTTTCAGGTAAAATCAATTAAAGAATAGTGTGTAGAGTAAAGAAATGAGGTAACTATTGTTTCGATCAAGTTTCTTCCCACAGATGTCATCAGGTACTTCGGCTGATGCGATTAGTCGGTAGAGAAGATATGCAAAATAGCACATTTTTCAAGATCGTTATCATCTGAGCTTCATTCCTTCCTATTCAAACTAATGGGCGTGAAATTCCATGAGATTATTTGACTATTGAAGAAAATTTCAAGAAATTGAATTATTACTTTTCGTAGCAGTTGCCCGGACTATACGAGCGATTCAGTGCTAGGACGCTGCTATCCTTCTCTTGTTCTGGCAGGACGAGAGCAGTGCCAGCACATCTCCCGCACTGACACGACGCTATAAAATACAATCAAATGGCCATCCTTCCTCCACATCACAAACCGCGAAAGCCGTGCTCGGCGACTATCGTGTTCTCACTCCAGGCATTGGGAAATTTATCCGGCCACGTTATTTCTGGATAATGTTGACCTAACAATTCTTAGATTCGAATCATATGGTTCAACATGAATGATGCAAACCCTAAATTAAGTTTTCATGATAAGCCATACAATTTACGATGGCGTCAGACAAAAGTTGCAGAAACGGAATAGATTTTTTCTCAGGTACAATAAAAATATAAGAAATATATTCTCGTATATTCGAAAACTAATTTGTAACTCAAGTAATGTTGATGCTAGTTTAGGCTTTTTAGAACATTTGTTTGAACCGTGACCAACTTTCCGACTGTAGTTGTGGCCATATCGATGAAACCTCGCTGAGCTTAAATTAGCAGCGAAGTTCTCAAAAGCTTCATGGCAATGAGTAGCATAACATTTGATACTCACGCATGGATGGTGCGGATCTGATTGTTCCTCAAGTTTATTTGAGAAACGTTCTCCAAGCTGGAGAAGGAGAAGGCCGGCAGCTCGGCAAGAGGGTTACGCTGCAGAAAAAAACATGCATTTTTAATGATGATATTATCGAGCAACTGGTAAGTATTTGAAAACAATGATTATGTATGTATTGTAGTACAGTAAATCTCAAACACAATAAAGAGTTAGAAAACAAAAGGTACCTGCACGCTAATTTTGTTGACGTTAGGCAGCCCCCTGAATACGAAGGGCTGCAGATATCGTATTTGGTTGCCATCTAAAGTGATAACTCTGAGCTTAGGCCAGCTGGAGAACATGTCAGTGGTGAGGTTACTCAGCTGGTTGCGGCTGAACGAGAGCTCCTCGACCAGAGACGGCGTGTCCCGCGGCACTGAATTCAGACCAGCTCCATCACACAGCACCTCAACACACAGAACAAGGTAGGCCGTACAAATTTATGTTCTATGTTAGCTGTAATAATATGGACTAATAAAATATGTTTCTGTTCGAGGTTTGTTCAAAACAATAATGAATATAATTCTAAAATCAGTATTAGATGGCAGAATTTTCTTGTTTACATACGTACAATTGATGAACTGAAAAATTCTTCATCATTTTGACTACATTGTAGTAATTGACTAACAACCACGACATCGAGTTGTTAGTCTGAAGGACAGAGAAACCCCCTAAGACAAACTCACAAGACCGTCGCTCGCACTGTGTTGAAGGAACCCACCAACATCGTCATCATGCAGAGGTGCACAACATTAACCACGACCAACGATTGCTGGAACCCTCGTCATTATGGACTGGACCCCGGCTATCTATTTCCAAATTACCAGATTTTTCTAAACTTGGAGATTGTTTGCGGATGGACTTTCTGATTCAAAATTTTTGTGTTGTATCCAATTTGCGTGATTGTGTACGTATGTCCAACAAAATTGCATTATTCAATGCTTCTCCTAACTTGATAATGAATGCTGTTACATTCGAAACTTCAAGATATGTTTTTACTTGCTAAACCTACCTTTTGATCAACCAATGTAATCTAAAGAATTGTTCAACTCTTTTAAAATTGTAATGCATTCTCTGGTCATTAACTGTATGCTTATCAACAAATCTAAAATATTTAATTTGAGAACATGCTAATCTAAATGGTGTATTAATTAACTCCCCGAATTTCAGCAGATCAAAATTTGCTGCTGCCGTTGATTTTTAACTTCAATTCAGGAATTATCGACTTACTTTTGAAGCATGTCTCAGTAAATATGTAAATGGCTTCACCGAATTTACGGTTTTATTTACAAATAACAACATTTTTGGTTTATTTCACAATCAGATCAGTTGTTATTTCAAGTTCCAATTTCTGCGGCTTTTAACTCCCTTCTACACCATTTTATTTTGAATAAAAGCAGTGTTTTTCCCGGAGCAATTTGCTTGAGCGGCTTTACAGAGCTGATCTTCAGCAAAACTTGAGTGAAATGGAAGTATGACTGAAATATTCGAATGTTTCAAAATATCTTGTGCGGAATAAAGCTGAGTTGTGGTCTGCATTTTTTACCATTACCCATGAAAATTTTGACGAATGATGATGCGTGGAGAAGTGCAATGGCTTAATGTTAATAAGTTTATGAGTTAATGTTGACCGGCATCACTTCAAAAGTAAAACTGTTGTTGCAAAGTTACAGTCACTTTCATTAATTCCTATTGTCAAGATTTCAGTGAAGTAGGCATTCAGCAAGGAAATTTTATCTTTATCGTCAATTTAGTTTCAATCGGAAGAACTGAGGCGTTAGCGATTGAAAATTTCATTTAAATTATTAGTTCAAACTATTGAACTCACACACAGGAATGTTGTTAATTAAATCCTGGGAGTAAACCCCGTTGACTTTGTGTAAAAAATAACACGTAAATAAATTCTTTTCTTCGATATGTGTTCTTCTATGGCAAAAAGTTATGTTCTAAACTTCTTCTCGGCTGTCATTCTAACAACATAAAAGGAAACTGAGCCGCACTCTTTCGATTGTAGAATGTATACTAATACAATACACTGCTGCTGAATACAATTTGGATTAAGGATTAACGCTAAAATGTTTATATAGAATTCTGTTACGCTGAACGTATATTTTCTACTGTTTATAATCATTTGTATCTCTAATAATTAAATCTCGAGTATACTTTCGCAGAATTCTCTCCTTAGCCACTATTTCCTTCCCCCTGCATAAGTCATCCCTCATCCCCTCTCTCACATCCCACTCCATCCCCACCGTGACAGGAGTCAAGCCCCCACAATATCGAGGCAATGTTAGCCAAGTTCATCAGTCCATTGTCGAGGGCTCTTGACGAGACCGCCTGATAAGCCTCATATCGCGGCCCCCGCTACCCGGACAACGTCATTCTGTCATCCCTGGCATACCTACGGGGACTTTGGCGAATTTTTCATTGCTGTAGCTTTCATAATTTGGAAGATTGAATTTCGTTTAAAGAGAGAATAATAATTGAAGTACCGTTAGAAGTGCTCCTACTGGCTACGTCTGCCTCCTAATAACGACTATTATTTTTGGAATAGAATCCTTTTTGAGGAGCCTCTTGGTTATTATCAATCTTCAGTGCTTTAGCGAAAATACGGAATTGAATGATTGCGTATGAACTATCTTCTCATTTTTTCAATTCTCTATTCTATTCGAGCGTCTTGAATTCATTTTTTATAAATCACTTTCCTGAATTGACATTATCCCTCCTCAATTTCTGCGATATACTATTAAATTCAAAGCCTGTAACTCAATATATTGTATATATGTCCCTCAGAACCAACATACCGCCCTATCACTTTTAACGCATTCATATATCGTGCATCAGGTGGCCCAAATGAGGGCGGAGGAACGATTATCAGAGGCGGCGATCCATCGTGGCCTGGGACTGCTATGTCCCAAACAAATACTAAGGAAACTAAGGAAGCATAGTACAAGATTCTAACCTGGGAGCCAGAGAGGCAGATGCAAACGGCAGGGCAAGAGAACGCGGGAGGCGCGCTAGCCAGGCGGCCGGGACAGCGCTGCAGCAGCCACAGGAGCGTCATGACCCGACATAGCCGCAGCCGCTCCCCCATTGTCATGGGGGAACTGAAGGGGAATAATATGCTTGTTAGATAAACATGAATAGTACGCTTGTTAGCATGCGTCATCAAAACCGTTAACCCGCTCACTGAAATGTATTATATTTAAATGTACGAGCAATCAAACTAAACATGAAAGAAAGAGGCACTTGTCGACACAAATTATAATGCTGAGAAAATCTAAAATCCCTTCTTACCAACGAATTAAATATGGCTTCACTGCTTTGATCACTTAAAATTTTCAATTTTATTAATATGAAACAAACCTTATTTGTAAAATAATTATGTTAAGAAAATTTGCAACCGTTCTCTTCCATACCCTGGTTACCGGACTGAGTAATCGGATATTAACGTTTTTTTTTTTAATTTCCAAGTTAGAAGTTAACTGCGCATAGAGTCCCGGCGATACGGATTGTATTTGAGTTCTAAATAGGTTTATGCATGTCTATTTTTGCGAATCCTTCTGAAAATAAGACTCTATATAGGTCTCACCCTAGGTCTCCTGCTAACTCATCAGTCTGTCCTGACTCGACTAAACTCGTCCTCCCGAGACGCAGCTGCTGATGCGCCATCTGATCCCTCCCATCTCGACACTTTCCCGTCCTCTGTCAACCTAAAAGCTATTTCGATCCTAAAATACAAGTATAATTGATTTAAGTCGATAATTAATTTCACGGATAATCAATATACAAGGATAATCAATTTGCGTGGATAATCAATTTGCAAGGATAATTAAAAGTGAGAAATCGATAAGTGATTTCTGGATATTAGAATCGGCATCATAGGAAATCGACTTTTTTGCGTTAATTAGCCAAATCACGTATGGAAATTATTATTTCTTGCAGTTCTATTGTCCAGGGATTTTAAATACAATTCATCAATGTAAAAACATTTTCATTTCATTTGAATTCAAATTTTTAGACTAAACAAATAACTTTTTTCGTTGTACATTTGCCCAATTACCTCGGGCAAAAAGTCTTGTTCGGCGACTGCTCGATGTTAATGCTTGTCAAGCAACAAAAGTCATTTGCAGATTATGTGATGAAGTCTAGTTGCGTAGGGTCATCAATGGAAGAATCAACAACAAAAATAATCTAGAAAAATTACAATTCATCTCGAAAAAGAGCTATAAGGAGAGGAGTAAACGGTGCGAGGGGAAATGTTTGCGAAACAAACTGTCGGCTTATAGAAATACTGCATTTATACGGTTCCACAAATTCACTTTCAAAATTCAGGAATTTTTTGATTTGCAAGTTATATGATGCAATTACGAAAAATTGGAGACGACGAATTATAAAGCAATGATTTAGAGTTATTATTGAAGGAAGTTCTTACTTTGGCAATGTATAGCGAAGATAACCTGATACGAATTTTTTAACCTGATAACCTGATACGCTCCAGCATAACAACAATCACTTATCCTTATCATAAATTTTATTTTTCATATCTGAATGTTGTACAAATTATGCGCCAACCTATCTTATTCAGCATAATACAATAATAACAAATAAGAAAATAAGAATACTACCCGAACTTTACGTATATGATGGATAAAATAATTAAGTTTACAAGTGACGGCACCTCAAAGTTCGTCAGAGCTGCAGGGTATAGCAGCCCCGAGCGTCTTCTCCGCCCAAATGACTATAAAACATTGGCTCTGATGCCGCAATTTTGCGGACGCTCAATTACCTGCCACGAGTGGAGACCCTGGCCTGCAGCTGCAGTTGTTAGCGAGTTTTCTGTGGAATATGCCGGTAATGTCGCTCATTTGACGGGCTCGCTAAACTCCGATTATTTCCGCTAGTAATTAGAGTTGTTGGGGATTCAGTCGGACTGGAATATGTGGAGGCTTAATAACTAAAGCTCGGCATTCGGACATGGTCTGTTAACGCTGAAAGTTTAATTGAGCTTCTACTGACATATTGACATTTTGAAGCAACAACGACATTTTATTTATAATTTGATTGACAAGTTTTGGTACGACTGACCCAAGCAGCTACCGCAGGAGCAAAAATAAAAAATAGAAAAAAATGACTCGCAAGATACGCGAAAAATATCTTGAATTTCTTTTCAGCCCACCGAGCAGTATGCAAAAAAACTAACGGCATGCCTTATTCAAGATCCCCTCGTACTTTTGACATGGCCATTTGCTGAATGTTCGGCGCCTGCATGAGCCTCGAATTTAATAAATTATTACTAACAGAATTTATGCACCAAAAATTTTCCTTTTTGCCTCAATAAATTCTGCATAAATCCAACTACTAGGTGAGATAGAAGAAAACACACATTCACACAACTACCGTAGCACAACTAATCTCTAATGCATGCAGAACCGAAAACGAAATGCATCCGAGCCGAAGAGCGTTCGCCTCATCTCCCTAAGCCGCGAGCACTAAAGTAAGTTTGCTCAGCTGCCAATATCGTGGGAAGCTTTGATTTAGCCTGCCACAGCCAACAGTCTCGGGATGGACCAACACAGCGCAAGAAATGCCTCGTCTCGAAGAATATATAGCACGTCTCCGGGCCACTGATTGAGAGCCGAGGGAGCTGAGCGATGCTCCAGCATAACAAGTCCATTTGTTGCTTCAACTGCCAGACGCGAGCGAGCGATCGCGCTCCCCAAATGATAACAAATGCACGCTGAATTATCTCCCAATGCATTAAATCCCACTTAAAGCATCAAAAGTCATCTCTATAGTTTAATTTACGCTTAAGTGCATGGGTTTAGGCTGAACTTATCCATGACTGGTAATGTTGGTGGATAAATGAATGAATAACGATTTATGTATCTTCAATATTGCCACATGTGCAGAATGTTCTATTTTCAACTCTTCACGCGTACATTTCAGTGTATGTGGTGTATAAAAATTCCAAGATACCCTATTTCGCATGGTTAACAAAACGGATATAATTTCACACTAAAAAAGAAAATATTCTTTGTATAAATATTATCATATCTTTAATATTACCTACGTCCGAGTAACCCAGAACTGTTTGTGATTCCTCGAAATCAGTAAAATACATACAGGCTCTTCCAAGGCTTCCATAATTTTTTCCTTCCCTCCTTTTAGCGCCTCTGTCAGTCACTGTATTATTTATCAACAAATGCTAATTGTGCTGTTTAATTTAATTTTTTATTCATGTGATATTCACATGCTCACGATTTGTCCTAAACTTCATACGCAAATGAAAGTTCGGTGGCTGGCACCACGAGGGGCCAAGGTCGCGGCTTGGCCATCAGCATGCAGCGCCTCGCCTCAGCCCTCCAGGGATCAGCACTCGAATAATACCATAAAAGTTGTCACAAATTTAGGCATTGAATGCAGGGAGGAGGATTCGAAACATCGTCAACAATCGCAGTCGCGAGGCAAAACACGGAGCTTTATGTCGGCGCACGAGTGCGCTTACCGCCAGCGCCTCGTTACAGCCGTTATTTTTCTCTGCATGTTGCGTTCACACAGACCTGCAAAACTGAAGTTATTCCCGCGGTTACTAGTTGCAAGCTCTAGTAATTCAATTACGAGTTACACGAAGTAAGCTCTGGTGACACAATTACAAGATAATAGCGCACAGAATTACTAATTTTAAGAAGCCAGCTATAGCGACCCAGTTATTAGTTAAAATTAGTTATTAGTTAAAACTTGCAGAGTTTTAACTATTGCGCGTTTTAGCTAAAGCGACACAGTTACTGGTTATTAGTTAAAATAAGTTATTAATTAAAACTTGCAGAGTTTAATAACAAAATTACTTGTGACTGGTTGCAAGCTTTAGTAACACAATTACTAGATAATAGTAACGAAATATCCTGACAATTTCTTGTTACTGGTAGCGAGCTCTATAGTAACACAGTTTCTTATTACTAGTCGCAAGCTCTAGTAACTTAATTTCTTGTTACTAGTAGCGATCTCTAGTGACAATTTCTGGTTAATATTATCTATAAAGATACAATTACTAGTGCTTCATAATGCAAGTTCAATGATTTAGAGATAAATGAAACGTGGCAACCATGTTTTCTACGCGCTTTTCTTCGTTTCTAAATTTCTTTATTTGGATTCCCTCCTAAAAAGAAATGCAAAACACTTCTGATGTGATTTTTAACTTGCATTCTGATATTATTCCCAGGAATGCTTGCATTTTTTATAAACTTCAACAAAACCATTGCATGGGACTTGGAATAATAATTATCCAGGTTTAGCTTCAGAAATTTGTCGTGCTCGCACCTGTAGAGTAATCTGGTCCAGCCAAATCATGAAATATTGCCACGGCGGCTTGCTGCCGTCGTGCTGACATGTGAGGTGTGTCAACAAAATATATGAGCAGCGCAAGGGGGCGGCGCACCAAAGTGGTGTTTAGGTTACTCAAGTGTGGTATTCCTCTAACTAGCGTTTAGCTTACCTGTATGACAATAAGAACAGTCATTGTGGTAACCAATGTACGATGTTGTTCAGTTCATAATAAACCTCTTCCCACTGCGGTGTCCCTTGTCTTAACCATTTATACGTTCAACCTCGGTCACATCACAAGCCACCTTGAAAAATTGTAACTTAGTCAAATTTAAATGTTATCAAGAACTCAGTGAGATAAGCGTCAAAGAAAATAATCATAATTATGTGTTGGACTTCGGAAGAAATGTTGATGAATTCTACGAAAAATACTTAATTATTTTCAAAATTATCATTTATCGAACCGATTTCTCAATGCTAATAATTATTCAGTTAAATTTTGTTTCAAAATATTATTATTACTCTAATAATCTGCATTTTATTTACATACATATAAATTTTACCCGAAAAGAATAATATATCCGCCCAGCTAAAGTTCACCGTAATTTGCTTTTCCCGCGACCATCAATCATTGGGACAACTTCTTTGATAAGATGTCGGAAAAAAAGTTAGCCATGCCAAAGTTTCTGCAACCAGCATCATTTGTTGCAGTTGCAGAGATTTTGTCTGGACAGATCCAGGTCTGCAAAACTGTTAAGACAAAACTGAAAAGACATTTTTTAAACAAGGGAGCTGTAAAGAAAATTTCCTAAGAATGTTCAATTTATAACCTCTTTCTTGACAGAAATCGTCCACCAGATTCGACGTAGCGTTGTGGTCCTGAGATCCTTGAACCGAAGGTAATCTATCTCAGTAAGTAATCTGTTGGTGATGCGAAAAATCTTAATACAAACCCAGTGCTGCAGACCTCTCTGCGCCAGCCTGCCAATAAGACCCTGACCCAGGTCTGCTGTCCTACAGACCTCGCTGAGCCAGTCTGCCAATAAGGTCTCATCACTCGACGTCCGTCGGACGCACAGTTGCCTCATTGCTCGGCGCACCTGCCGCTTGCGCTCGTCACCTGAGATGCACGCCAATCCCTTGAGGCGCTCCCATGCATAACAATAACCGCGCTAACCCATACACAATATCGGCGGGAGTTGTTGGCATTTTGTAATGTTTAAATATTATTCAATGACCCGCTCGCCTGAACGCGACCACGGAATCTCTTGCCAGTTTTTCCGGCTATGTATAAATTCAATCGCTACTGCAATTAGAAATTTGCGCTAACTGCATCGGTGAGGGATAAATGTAAAATCTGTAGATTTTAATAATATCGCGATGCGAAAATAACTACCATTCGTAGTTTCTGAGCTCTTTTTGACGAAAACCATATGTGATCGATAATTTTAAACTAGTAACGATATCCATAGTAGAATGGTGAAAAGGTTGCGTGGTCGTGTTATTGAAGCTCAGAGAATCAAGATTGGCGCAGTGAGTTGTGGGTTTGGTACCCGCTGCTTGCTGTAAAAATTCAGGTCGAAACAGCGGCAGTGAGAAATACTGCTTATGTTCCACTCTGCGGATATAAATATATCAATAAAGTATAAGCTAAAACTCAGTACAATTTAATTTGCTCTGATTAGCATTATTCTTCTGCCATCAAATTGTTTTGATTTTTAGATTAGCGCGATCCATTAAAATAATACAGGGTGTCAAAATTGATCAGGGCGAACATTAATCGATACTTAGTTTCAGGTAATTAACTAACCTATGGATTTATTGTCGTTTCAATATCTCACAAGTTACGTTCATTGAATACAATATAGAGGTACTGGCTTCACTAATTGGTAACAATTATTAATAACGCATTAAATGTTTCTTTTAACAATTCGCCAATCGTCATGTACTACACTCGCTTCCAATCGAAATATATCATCAATATTCATAGACCGTTTGAGTCAAACGTGGAATTAGATACATATAATAATAATATGCGTTTAAAAATTACTTTTTAAAGACAACACTTCTGGAAAATCCAGTGTCTTGGATGTTACACATGTACAATGAATTTCCAATTTTATTTTAAAATATTAAAAAAAAAAGATTTTCCAACATGTTTTTAAGACATCAAAATTTTGTAAATTTTCAAAATTATTTATTGTGTCAATTGATTCATGCACTGTCTCTGACTTTATGCAATTGTGCAAAAATTTAAATCAATTGGACAGGTCAAACTGTGTCATATATGGATTATAAGATTTGTAGCAGACGAAATTTAAATTGTTTTATTACCGAAAAAATTTTTTTGTTAATTTATAAAATTATTTATTCTGTCAATTGATTCATGCATTGTCTCCAACTTTACGCAAGTGTGCCAAATTTCAGATCGATTGGACAGGTAGAACTGTATTAAATATCAATTATAAGATTTGTAGCAGACAGACAGACAAACAAGAAGTGAAGTTAAAGAGAAGTGTTGTAAAAATAGGCACATTCTGTATTAATTGGTCCATGTTGCTCAATGAGTACTCGTTCAGTAGAATTAGATGAATAATTTAGGGGAATTCTATCACACTTTACTCCTGTCATGAGGTTTATTTACTTCAATATAGATGTTGCGTGACATTAAATCAATGTTCGTAATTAACGTGCGTACTATATTTCGCAGTGTGAGTAACTTTCTTATCCACTAACTTGAAATTGTCTCATGTAGGATTTCACTTTCTACCTGCAAAATTAATGTACGAAATATTTATAACATGTCAGTTTTTTATTTAATACTTTGTTTATTCAATAATTCTAAATTAAAAAAAACACGAAAAGCATTTTCGTATAGATACTCAGACTTTTTATTAATTAGTGCGAAATTAAATGATTTTTCTAAATCTTACAAAGAAATCGCCTACCACTAAAATTTCTACAAATAAAATAAGTGTCTTATTTAGGCTATTTTATTTTAATTACCTGAGAGAGAGTTTAAAAAGATTATCTGGTGATGATTGGTTTTACAACGCTTGTAGCGATGTTCCGATGTTGGCTGAGAGAGGCGCCGTCCTCTCAACCTGGCGGCTACTCGACACACACTGACCTGTTATTTCAGCTCGTGTTTGGGAACACTGAGGCTAAAATATGACAAAAATTAATTTAAATGAAACTATTTACTGAATCATATATCGATGATATACACGAAGGGAATATTGGCCAACATAAGCTAAAGGCATATTAATGTATGTCATATATCTATGAGATTGCTTCCCAAAACGTAATGCGATGCAACAGAAAGAATTTGCAACCCGAGTTTTACAGGTGTCTAACTTAATTTTTTGGAGAATAGTCTTAAAATCATAAAAAAAAGCTTATCAGCAGATGCTGGGAATGCTTATTAATGAACTATGCAACTTTATTTTAATACTGTTATTATGTCTTTATATCCGGCTTATTTGATTAAAATAACATTTATATCGTTATTAAATCTTAACTAAGCTTTTTGTGCTCCATAAAAATTCGAATGGGATTGAAAATTATTTGACAAATTTTTAATTTTTAGGGTATTTTAATTTTATTGGGGAAATTTTACGTTCTCAAGAAGGAAAACAGTTGTTGATTCATTGTTTGTTTGGATTTTATTCAACGAAATTAATGGTCTAAAAATCATAACAAACGTAATTAAATCTTTAATATTTCTTTACATGTATTGAAATGTTGTTTTTTACTTATCATTTATATATTCAACTTCGTTGATTTTTCAACGATTTTTAATTAGGCAGATCGAAACCAAAGCGAGTTAGAAATAGAAATCACAATTAAGATTTAAGCCCAATTCTGTTTTCCTCAAGTCTAAGTTCAGTGTAGCGAGATTAAAAAACTACGTTAATTATCGACCAAATTTAAACATTTAAGTTATTTTTGACTTCTTAAGGTTATTTGCACAGATTTGATGCTCTTTAGAAATAATATTTAAAAACTGTTGTCTGTTGGTCTGGGGGTGACAGTCACAGTCAGTGAGTCACCAGTGGCGGCAGCCAGGATGGAATTCTAATTTTGAAGGTTCATGTATTATTTTGATCCACCAAGACCGGTTTTTCGACCCAACAATGTTATTTGAGGTAGTAAATCACCAAAGGTTTGAGAAGGTTGCGTTGAGAAAATTGTCTCCGTAGGTTCGATAAGGTCGCTTTGAGAAAATCATTGCTGTAGGTTTGAGAAGGTCACTTTGAGAAAATTGTCACCAAAGGTTCAAGAAGGTTGCCAAAGGTTCAAGAAGGTTGCTGGAGAAAATCATGGTATTATTGCAGATTAACTACATCCAAAAAAAAGTGTGTTTTTTTTTTGAATTATATGTTTTTTGGGGTGTAGATTACGAATCTGAAATCCATTTTTGGCGGTCGGCATCGGAAAACCGATTTTTTTCGCGACTTACTAACATGGGGGTTACGTAACTTACCTTACCCACTCACCTTTATTTACTAACATGGGGGTTACGTAACTTACGTTACCCACTCACCTTTATAGCAATGCTGGTTCAGCGTTACTTGAAATCATCTACAGACGATGTTGCCATTCCATTCAGATGAAAACTGTGTCTAAATCAGAACTGTGTCGGACGGCTCCATGGCCCGCGCCGAGTGCTGCGCGGCGCGGAATCGATGACCGTGATTTGCACGAACGCCTGCGTGAAAAAATATAATTAGATTGATTTACGCGAGAAATTTCCCCGTTTATATACATCTTCCTGAGTGTGGGGTTCAAGAAGGTTGCTTTGAGAAAGTCATCGCCGAAGGTTTGAGAAGGTTGCTCTGAGAAAATCATCTCCGTAGGTTTGATAAGGTTGCTTTGAGAAATTGTTACCAAAGGTTTGAGAAGGTCGCTTTGAGAAAATTGTAGCCAAAGGTTCAAGAAGGTTTTCAAATCACAAATGTGTCGCCAAGATCTTCAGCATCTCCAAAAATCTTCAGATATTCACTCTCTGCACACTGGACACTGTGGACAGCCCCTTGCAATGATCTAAACCTGGCATGATTACAATTCAACCCAAATAGCACTCTGACCATAGTGGCAATCGAGAACATATATTTTTCTAGGGTCAACATACAATTTCTGAACGCAAATTAAGCATATGCATTGCTTCACAATTTTATGAACGCCAATGTAAATAGTCAAAATATAACTCAGTTTACCAATAAATTTTCATTTTAAAATTAGATTTTACATATCTCTGTCTCCAATGTTAGTAGGTTTTGCTCTGCTGAGACGACAATGCAAGTTTGGTACTGGCAGTGCAGCGCAGGCATCGACAACCACACGTGGCGGCGGCGCCAGCTGCCAGTTCACATACTTCTGGCAACAACAACACTCGTTCAAAACTTCATGTTCAAAGATCAGATTCAGAAGTTGAGTTCGTTCAATGCTTTCCAAATAGATGCTCTTGTTTGTCATAGAGGAGACGTTCATTCCTTTCCTATCCGCATCTGCTCTACGCTGGATTTTGTTTTCAATTCCTAATTTAGAGTAAACTCTTCGTTGAGGGATTTTTTTGCAATTGACATATCGATTTGACACCGTGTACGATATTTTAAAACAAATTTACAGAACTAAGTTTCATAGCACTTTTTCCATGCATAAATTTATGAAATTGAAACTAAGTTATAAGTACCAAATTAAAAATGAATTAACGAATTAATTAAGTTACAAACACTGCCCTATGCGCTTGCAGTAGTGTATTTTGAATATATAGCTTTGTTTTTGAAAGGGTCAAGCTTGGTTTCTATTATATAAACTTATGCAATAAAACGTGCAAAAAATGAGCATATATTGTGCTAGTTAAAATCTAAGTTAAATCTGACAGCGCTCGCTGAAGAGTATTATCTTAGCTTTTTCATGATTGAAATGTCCAACTTATGCTTATTAGACCTGCTATGAAAAAAATTCATTCCAAAAATTCATCCCAAAATTGTTGACACGACTGGTTGGACTAATGTTTGCTAACAGGCACTGCTAAGATGAGCAACATTTTTGGCTAGCGTGTAGCAATGTGCAAGGCTAAAGTGTGCTATGGTGTAATGCTAATGTGTGCTATTGTGCTCTGGTAATGTACGCTAACTTGCTCTGCTAATGTGTGCTAAATGTGAGAATGCACTATGCTAACGTAGCTAACATATGTTATGGTAATATGCCCTACCTACTAACGTATGTTATGATAATGCGCTCTGCTAACACCTGCTACAAGGTCTGAGCTAAGTTAATCTAATTAACTACCTATAGTATGCAAAGATACGCTATTCAAATGTTTAATAGGAATTTTAATGTGTCTTTTCTGAAATGATACGAATCATTTTCGATAATAATAATGATAGCAGATAAGACAATGTCAGTACAGGAGCTGCATTCTTGGTATATGGTATTTGATAATTGCAATGGGATTCTCTAATATAAGGGATTACCAATCCCAGCAACACCAAGCAGGGATGCATGTTGTCATAACAAAAGGTTTCTTAGACTTTTTTTAATGCAGGAAGGGGTTTGTAATTTCTTAGAATAACCTTAATGATAGAGGCAAAAATAAAACGACCAACTTATTACGTTTATTGTAATGGAGTTACATCTAAAATGGAAATGTGGGAGTGTATATATGTATATTTATCATAAAATTGGTGATACTAAATCACATATCCTACAAATAATAGGTATCTATAGAGGAACCTAATGTCTTAAAAACACAACCCCAAATAATCATTGTTAAATTTTTGTCAAAATACAATTCTTCTCTGCTTTTTGTTCTCATTTTATGCTCAAAATAGGTTTTCAAATAAACTAAGGCACTCGCTCTCACTTACGTCTTGGACATTGTCCGAGATGTCTCTCACTTGATGTAAATAAAAAAAGGCCTAATCAATTTAATATACATTCATTTAACGATATCTTTGATATCATCTATGAAATTTCAAGATGCCAAAGATTACAGCAACCAATCTAAATGAGCTGTGCCATAGTTTGCATATCATTAGTCTTTTGTTTTCATAAGTTATGTATGACCATGATAGCAAATTTGACCTCAACTAAATGAGTGTCAATTTTGTAAGTAATATAGTAAGCTATTTTATGATTAACAAGCCTGTATCTAATTTATAGTTTAGACAAAATTTATAAGGTTGTCTGTAAAAATTGTCTTGTCATCTGAAAAAAATTGTTAAAATTTGAGATAACCAATATTTGATCAAACTCGTTTATCTTAATATAGTGACTGAATCCCAATCTAACATGTAACAGCTGGTATTCCTTGAAACGGGGGTATTGTTCACTTCTCGATCTCGTTGTGGCAACAGCAATCAGAAGCCATTGCATTTACCATTGTGAACCTGTGATACAAAACATTAATCAAATCAAAAGTAGAACATTCAAACATAACATATTTGAAAATACTTAATACATGCCAAATCGGGCCCAGTGTAGTAAAATAACAAAAAGTGAACATGAATTATAAAGTTATGAACATGTCTAAAAATGAGTCAGGCAAAAAATTTGTTTGCCACCATGACTCTGACCTTGCAGGATTGGAATTTTTCTACTTTTTTTTCTGAAATCTTGCAGCTCCTACGTGACAAAATTTAAGTACAATTGGAATCTTGCAGCCCGATTGTGCACTTTTGTGAACAATTAGGTAGGAGGTAATTCCCACTGTGCGGAAAGTGGGTGAATATTGAAAGATATTTGGCAGTGCATCTGTATCAAAATTTACGTCTTCTGAAGATCTTGCCAACCCATTTGGATTGAAATTATTGCATATGAGAAATAACTTCAAAATTACTGGAAATCTGAGAGACTGCAAGCACACACAGTAAGGATTCTGGTACGCCAGAAGGATCAGGATGCAGTGAAGCTTGTCCAGAAATCAGTTGCGATGTATGTAAGTGTTGCGGTGCATGGTTAGTAAGGGATATAGTACTATCAAAGCACTTTCTTATTAAAAATTACCTAGCAACGGATCTTGAAAATGGCTGGCAATACTTTGGGCTAAAAAACCATATCATGGGGACGCTGCTTGCGCTTGGACCCTCTGCACCCTGGG